ACTCGGCAGAAAATCCTACTCGGCGGGCGGGGTGGGGGAGGCACTGCGGAGTGGCGGGAGGCGGCCCCCAAACCAATTATTTTGGATGACTCATCATAATAGTTCATACTTTTTAAAGTTATACATATATTATCTTTAATCAAGAAAAATTCTTAAATTATAGTGCACAGACAATAATGGACAGTACATTTATAAAACAGATTTTTTAAAACTGGGAAAATAGTATATATTTAGAATTCGCCAGCTGGACTCAGTTTAGATGATCCCAATTTTGTTAGCAACATCCAATACATCATAATCAGGAGCCATAATCTCTCTCCATCAGGCCTGATTAGGGTACTGACCTTGGCAACACTGATGTCCTACAGCTTCTTTACAGCTTGTTTGATTTGGTGCTTATTGGCTTTGACATCCACAATGAAAACGAGTGCATTGTTGTCCTCGATCTTTTTCATGGCTGACTCTGTGGTCCGGGGGAGCCTGATGATGGTATAGTGGTCAAGCTTGTTTCCCCTGGGGGCGCTCTTCCGAGGGTACTTGGGCTGCCTCCAGAGCTGCAGTGTGTTGGGATGGCGGAGGGCGGGTGACATTTGTATCTTCTTTCTGTGGCGGTGGATGCCTTTCAGCACGGCCCTCTTAGCCTTCAGAGCTTTTGCTCTGGCTTCAGCTTTGGAGGGGTAGGGGCTTCCTTCTTCACCTTTGGCACCGTCTTGGTAAAAAGGCCTATAAAACAGATTTTTGATATTATTTTGGTTACACAAGAATGGATGGAAATATGTTACCAGCTTTAAAGATATTTTATTCTTACCAACTGATTTAAATAAGCCTACTACTGCACTAGATGAACCACAGCATTTGGGGTAATGTCTTCAGTGTTTATCTATAAACTAGTAGAACTTTTGGAGAATAATGTTTAGTTAAAGGTTAACACACAGAAACACACATATTAACCTAAATCATATGTAACTTTTATGTTTTAAGGCTTTTATTCCTGTGTAAATCTTGAGCCTATCAGTCTTTAACTGTTCTAAATGAGTTTAGTTACCCTGAAACTTATTTAAATGGTCTTTCCATGAAAATTTTCAAAAGAGCCAAAAATAAAATAAAATAAAATAAATTGTTTAGTTCAAAAAATATTTTTCCTGAGTGAAGTAGCTGTAGGTGCTTTAATCAGTTACTAACACACATGAAATATAGATTCTGTCCCTCTCTAGGACAGAAACTTTCTTTTTCCCAATAAATAAATTCTGTTCTTAACCACAAAGCAAAACAAAATGAAACAAAACATCAATGGACAGACAAAAATGTACAAGACAATGACCCTTACACCAATGTGCACTCCCAGACATATTGGTTAAATTGAACTATAATAATCCTGTTATAGCTTTTAGATTTGTAACTATAAACAGATGAGTCAGAACTTTTCCTGTAGGCCATCAATTAGCAGAGGTCTCTTGTAATAAGAGTCAGAAGGGGTCGACTTCCGTGCCCGAGCCGGGGAGGCTGGGCGAGCGACTCGCGTAGCTGTGGCGGCCCAGGCGCCCTTCCGGTTCTCCCCGTCGACAACATGCTCCAGTTCCTGCTTGGATTTACTTTTGGAAACGTGGTAGGAATGTACCTGGCTCAGAACTATGACATACCAAACCTGGCTAAAAAACTTGAAGAGATTAAAAAGGACCTTGAAGCCAAGAAGAAACCCCCTAGCTCCTGAGGCTGCTGCAAGCACTGCGTTCTGTACACACTGCTCTCCTGCCTGCAGTGGCCTCCCTGGCCTTCTGTTCCCAAATTTTTCTGTGTGCCGTCTCCAGTGTCAGCGATTTTCCTCTTTTCTAGACTACATGGCCTCAGTGTGAAAATGGGGTCCCAAGTCAGGAACTATTCTTCACAATTTCAGCTCCTCATGTCTTCCCATGTCTTTTTTCCAGCTCTTCGGGATGCTCAAAGACTGAAATTATGGTGCTAGGCTGGCAGATTCAACCTTTATTTAGTAGTTTCCTCTCATTTTTGGGATTCCTATTTCTTGTCAAAAGAAAAATTGCGATGTTTGTATAGTTGATCAGATACAAATAATGCTGAATTCACAGTTTAGTGATTATAATGGGTGCTTGTTAAACATTTGTTACTAAATTTTTGTTTTGAACTATTAAAATTAATATCTAGAACCCCCCCAAAAATAAGAGTCAGAAGGGAAAAACCCATTCACACCTGTGAAAGCAAAAAGCTTATTAAGAAGATATCCAGGCTAATGGTTAATCTTATTGGAATAGATCTCTGTTTAAAGCTGTTAATAAATTCATAAGGATCCCAGGATCTTTGTATCTTACCAACGAACTTATTTGTGCTATAAAAACCAGTTTGCTTCCTGGTGATACAGGGACCTCCAAATGATATAGGGGAAAAATGGCCTCCTGACCTGAAAGGTATCTGGGACGAGTTTGTGTTCTCTAAAACCAAAGAATGAATTTTAGGAACAAATGGAGGTTATGAAAAGAATGTATTTATTGGGGGAAAGAAAGCTCCTGTCCAAGAGAGGGATAGGATGGGGGCCCCCAAGTGGGTGATCCCCAGGAAGCTGTCTCTTCCAGGAACTTTTATAGACTAAAACCATGCATGTCTAAGGTGGAGAACCTGGGAACTCCCTTAGGTGGGCATGAGGTGGGACAAAACTATGGTTCACCAACAAGATTACAAGCACCTTTGCTCAGGTAAAATTGATTAAGTCCAGGACCAAATGGGGAAGCGAGTCATGTAGCAAGTGGGCATGAATACAGAGCAGGACTTTGTCCAGTAGCTAGCTGGTAGTAGTTGGATTAATGATTCTTCTGGGCTTCCTCAGGGTAATGATCAAATCCCAGATGCAAATCTTTAGGGAGGTCAGCGTTTGTTTGATCTTTGGTCTCTAGGTCTGGCCCATCGTTGGAACATCCATCCCTCTTACAGTTGTAAGGTATCTTGTCTTCTTTGTTATCTTCTTCAAGGGCCTATCTCTGTCTGACTGCCTATAATATTTTTATCAACTCAGCTGCCTGCAACACTGGAGTTAACTGCAGCTCTGCTTAAGGGCAGAAAGGCTGATAAATTTGATTAAACCATTTACATTCTCCTAGAATCCTAGTCAACGGATTCTCTTAGGGTCCAAGGGTCAAATCTAAATGAGTTTTTAAAAATATGGCCCACAGATAAGTGAAAATCAGCTTTACTCTGGAAAAGTCAGAGGGAGGGAGCAACCTGGTCTCAACATACATCAGCCGCAGAGAAGAGAGCTGCTTTGGAGTATGAGAACAAAATCCTAACTGTCTCAAGGACAGAAAGACAACCAAGACCACATGCTTCCCCAGGGTGGAGCTCAGTCCTGAGCAAGCCGTGTCTCCAAAGACAAAACCTATCTTGAATTCCAACTGCACTGCCAAGCAGAAAACCAACAACCAATGATCTTGAATGATTGTTTTTTAACTTTTCTAAGAGAGAATAAGAGAGAGGGGGAAAGAAAAATCACTGGATACATTGGAGGTGCTCCTTCAAGCTTTAGAGTTGTGGGCTCAGTTATGTGTATGCTTGGGCCTTTGCGAAGAAAACTATTGACAGGGGTCCTTCTACTCTGATAAATTGGAACCAGTTTAGTATAACTTGCTGGCTTGATTTTTGTTGTTTGTAGCTTTCTCTCCTCCCTCCCAATTTATTTATTTATTTATTTATTTATTTATTTATTTATTTATTTATTTTAATTTTAGGGAAGGGTCTACAGAGTGTTCAGGGTCTTATTACTAGATTGGACTTGTAGTGATCCGCCTATTTACAGCCTTTCAAGAACTGGGAATATAGGTGTGTGCCACTGTGTCCAGTCTCAATTGCAGTCTCAGCACACCCCAGGGGTAGGCCCAGCACAGCAGGCCTAGAGATCAAACCCCTGCCCCTGTGCCTGCTTGCAGGCACTTTAATCAGCTGACCTTTTTGGCTGGCCCTTACCCCTTCCAATTTTTATGTTCCCCTTTTTCCTATTTTTTTTTTTTTAAAGAAAACAAATCTAATTAGCGCATGATATTATAATTTTAGAGTCCCTCAACACTCCTACCCAGGTGGGGGGCATTGGAGGCAGAGGGACTCTTTCAGAGGAAACTGAGGGAGCAGGAGATTCTTTTGGGGGGAACTTCCATTGTTTGAGTGTACTAAATAACAACCCTGCAGAGATGCCAGATAGCACCTGGCATCTTACTGACTGTTTCAATTTTCTGCATGCCGGTTCCCAGTCTTCCACCTCTAGGCTGTCCTCCGGAGGAAATGGACACTGTTGTCCACTAATCGTCAGTAGCTCAATAAGTTGAAGCTCAGAAACTTTATACCAGGTATCTTCAGGAGATGTTGTAAATGTTGCTCAAGTTGCTTTTTCTCTGTTCTATCACCAGGGTGTGAAGCTGGATACCCTCGTTCCTTTTCCAGGCTTTGGAAGTTTGGTCCTTTGGGGTGAGCTGCGCCAACTTATTCCTCACACAGGGTGCCCCTTGTCACCATTCACAACCAGCTTCCAGAAGGTCCAGAGATTGCCCTTCACTGAGAGCCCTCCGCATGAGAGTCTCATAAAGACAACCTGAACTGAAGCTTCTGTGGCTTTTCATTGACAGACCAGGAAGCAAGGATAAAGGGCAAGACAATGACAATGACATCTGTGCAGGGGAAGGATGGGGAGAAGATGGGGGAAGGTCAAGGTGGTCTATTACTTGATTGACCTTAGGGGCTATGTAATAAGTCAGGGTATGGAGAGGGCAAGGGCCAGAGCACTCGTTCTCCAAGGCAGTGTATTTTGATTTTGTTGAGTTCTCCGGACACCCGAAGGGGAACTGCCTGTTCAGGCTGCCTTGGGAGACGGAGGACTGCTAGCTCTAAGGAGTAGAAACCTCTTGCATATGGGATGTTTTGCTAAACAGAGCAGGCCTCCCCAGGAAAGCAAGGAAGCTCCCAAGGGGACATTCAGGTAATAACGCCTTGCTTGCCTTGCTATCTAAAGCAAACATCTGCACTTAGCAAAGCTCGATTGTCTTTGTCATTCCTCAATAAATCTGGGGTTTGAGTCATTTCAGGGCTTCACTCCATCCCAGGGAAGATGCCTGCTCCCACCAAGATATTCTGTCTCTCTTGTCTTCATTCATCTCTCTAACAGCATTTACTGGCCTGAATCTGGTGTGATTCTCCTTGGGTGTGACCCTGTAGCTGGTCTTAATCTCTATGCATGCATTCCAGGAGGTTTAGGGGTATGGCTCCTAGCCCTGAATGTCTGCCTCACAGGCACCTCTGGCCAGTGCATCCACAACACAGAATCCATTGTTTCAAAATAAGTTTCACACAGGGGTAATCTATGATATGTTTGCTATGAAAGCTTTGAAAAAGAATGGATGAAGCCAGGCAAGGTGGTGTATGCCTGTAATCCCAGAACTTGGGAGGCTGAGGCAGAAGGATCACTATAGGTTTAAGGCCACCCTGGGTTGCATAAAGTTCAAGACCAGCCTGAACTACACAGTGAGGCCTGTCTCAAAAACAAACAAGCAAAAAACCCTGATAGTAGAGATTCATAAAATATTCTCCTTAGGATTTTAGCTAATATATAGGGCACATTTCCAATAATATGGCT